TTTAAACTCCAGGTTTTTGCTGCTCATCAAAGGCAGAATGCACAGAGCCAGTAGCCTGAATGCAGTTGTTTAAAAGGATCCAGGGGCTGGCTGTGGGAAGTAAAGTTCAGACAAGGGGCAATGGTTTTGAGTGCACAGGAGCCTCAAATTGAGTGAGCCTCACTTCTAGTTCCATAAAAAATATCAATCATCTAGTTAATTTAGGACATACCAAAACTTGATTCCATATCTTATACCCTGAAACATTAGCTCACATTGTTCTCTTATTTAACAAAAGTATTTTATATCTTAATTACCATGAGGTGCCCTGAATCCTTTCAGAAGAAGCAATCTTTGGTATATTTACATAGATATCATTTCATTTTTTCCAGAACATGGAAGAGAATGAATTCTGCCCTACCTCTTCCCCAATCATTCAGTGCAGTGAATGTTACTGTCATTTTATCTGCTTCAACCCTAATATTTAAAGCTGTATTTTTGTGCATTCAATTTAAAGTGGAAAATATTGCCATAGGTCATGTGTCCTGGATATCATGAAGCTTGATAAAAATAAACAAAAAAAGTAGCACGGGTTCTATTTCAGTAGAATTGTATGCAGAGATCAGAAATTTACCCAGAGATAAGTTTTTAACTCAGAAGTTCCGGTCAGATTTCAATAAAAGATAAGGTTTACTAGAACAGGAAACCTGACAAGATAAATCCACAGTGATGCCCTTAGTGCTTCAAGCCATGCCTAGGCACATAGTGGGTTGTTGGTGCATATTTCCCAAATCAATTCTGTTTTTAATATTTTACTAACCTGAAATATTGTTCTGTGGTTTTACTTAAACTGGTTGTCAGCGTAAAATGACTTCTGCATTCTCTCCTGGAAGTGGGTGAATTTCCATGGTGAGCAATTCCTCTATATACAGTTTGCAAATCATTTTGGGAACCTTCCAAATGAAAGGCACTGTATAAATATACCCTCCCACCAGCAGCCACCCGGCTTTCCACCGGGGATGCATTTGCATCGCTTATGTACATAGTGTTTCATTTGGGGCAGTGCTTTTATTTTTATGACCATAAAAGAAATATTCACAGTATGAACAATAATGTAAACTGCATTCAAGAAGTTATATATTTGTACATTTTTATAATTCGAAACTTAGAAATCTGAAAGAAAAGCAGGCATGGCATTTTCTTTCCTGTTGCTCATAGCGTTTTCAAACCATTCTTTATTATTCCCGAATTTTTGGGTGGAATTTTACTGAAATGCTCAAGTCTTTGTCTGTATTTCATTTGAGTTTATATGGTGGTGAGTTCAAATGAATGTTGCTGGTAAAAGGCCTGAAAAGGAAGGGTATTTGATTTTGCATTTATTCATGTCTGTAATAAGTTTGCTTTTGCAGTCTTTTTGTGGATAGAGGCCCCTTTAAGGAGACAAAAAGAAAAGGAAGCAACCTTTGCTATAAAATAACTTCTAAGTAACTTAGCGTAATAATGGGGACATTCACAGATGGGAGAGACTTTGAAGTGGTGTTTTTTAGCTTTCCTAACAAAAGGGGCTGATTTCATACAGCATTACTAAGAGATAGACTTTGAATTCCTATCATACAGAAAATGTTTAATGAACTTTGAAATAAATTGCCAACAGAGTTAAATCAAAACTTCTGTAAAGTAGGTATTTATTTTCCTAGAATCATCTGCATACAAAAATGATCTGAATTTATCCTTAACTTACACACTTCCATAATTAATTACTTCTAAATTGAATGAAATAACCCCACTCTGGATGTATTTTCAGCATTAAGTATATTCTCTCATTAAGGATTTCATTAAAAAGAGAAGATACTCAGAATAGTCAACATAATTTTGTCTAACAAAACCCCTCAAAAGATAGGTTAAATCAAAGCTTCCCTTACTTCACTGAGGAATGATACAACGTGTGGAAAATTAAACTTAGGCTACCAATAGAGGTAGAAGCAATAAGAATTTGAGTTCATTTCTTGTGTTCACAACTCTCTTTCATAAACATCAATTTTGATATAGTATTTCCTCATTTTTTTACAAGTAAAACAATTAACGAGACTTTTTAAAAAAACATTTATAATGCAATAATGTTAAGAACTAGCACACTCATGGTACTTTGTGGGTTATAAAAGATATTATTTTTTTTCTTCTGTCAGAATATTATTCTAAAATCTAATTTCATATTCCCAATATATCAACTTTATTTCATTAATCTGGTGTAAAATATGTGGACACTCTTCTTATTACCATAAAATAAAGCAACAGTTTCTTCAACTGAGAAAAGCTATAAGCTTAGATTGATCTGCAGCCAGTTTTTACTACAAAGCCCATAATGCTTTGCATTACAGCCTACAATCCCCACACTGCAGCACCAAGCATGCTGTTAACTATCCTGTTACTGGCAAAGAAAGAAACAAAGTATCTGAAAAAAGCTATGTAACATGCAAGATTTCTACTTGAGTAGTAAAATATTAATTTTTTTCAGTGTCTTGAGATTTTTTGCCTTTCCCTCTAGTAAATAAAGAAGCATATATATTGATATACATATTGCCTTATCCTGAATAAAATGTCATATATTCTCACTATGTCAGAGTGTATATTTCCCATATCAAAGCCTTTGTTTTTAAACCCTTCATTGAGTCCTGAACCCCCAATTGCTTTTGAAGGGAGGTCAGTTTTATTCATATTTTAAAATAAAATCACAATACATTGTTTAATGCTCTAAACATCTGCAAATGAGAATTCAGTGAAGTAATTAAAATTCTTAATTAGATGCACCTTGCAGCTACTGTTAGTCTTAATTGGCAATAATGCAGCTACATTTTGTTCTGACACATATATTCAGAAGAGTTAGAGAGAAAACTGAAGGGAGGCAAGAGGAAAATGTTCCCACACAGTTCAAGACAGTTCGCACAAAGAGGATCCCATGGCAACAAACATCGAGGCCCACAGTTGGCTCAGTAGGATCCAGGAATAGACAATGCTTCACCTCTGATTCAAACAAACACTTCCCTTCCTGGATCCAAAGAGAACGTTTTTTAAAACATCTTTTTCAATAAAAATGTAATGGTCAAATGTTCCCTATGTGTTTAAGGGACTTCTCAATGCTTCTGGATGCTCTGGGTAGCCCAGGTCAAGACAGTAATTCCAACTTGTTTTCTGTGCAGAGTAACAAATTGACTTGCAGAATCATTGCAAATACAGGACTAGAATTTTGTCCTCTGTTGAACTGGACTACATCTTGGTAACTGGTTCATTTTAACTCTCATTCTACAGACAAAGAAACAGAGATGAAGAGAAATTAATGATTTCCATGTGGAATTATGAATACTTGAGAGTCACATATAAATTCTGAGCCTATGGTCCAGGAATCTTACTTCTAAACTTCTCTCTGAGCAACTGAATTTATTAACCGTCCAGGTTGTTTGAGGTATATGTCTTCACTAGAGTGAGTCTGCAAAAGGAGTGTTACAGAAAGTGTAGAAAATGTGGTTCATTCACCATGAAGGAGGGTGGAGATGCTTTGCTGTTTACCTCTGGTCCTCAGATTACTCTGAAATGAATGACATGTGAGGAAAGAACAAGGAGAGAAGAAGGACTGGCATGCAAGAGGTTAACCTGGGTAAGTTCCCTTCAGGGGAAAAAAAAAAAAAAACCTGGGAGACTTGCCTACACACTTTCACCACATCTTTCCTCCCCTTGGAGTAGAAAGTTCAATGAATGTTCACTCCTTCAAAGTAGTTTTACCTGTTCCTGCCTCCCAACCCTTTCTTTGCACCTGTGCACTTTAGCTTGCTTTAGCTTAGCTTACATTTTACCTATTTATTGCAAGTATTTCCTTTATCTTCAACTTGTGTTTTACTTCCTATTTTAAATTTATATTGTTCTCCAGGGCCAAGGCTGTTTGCTTATTTTTCTACTTCTGATTTATCCTGTTAAACATTCTCTTATAAAAGCTCATGGCATACACTGTAGAGTGGGTTAAGGTTTCCAAGAATGGGAACTACAGGTGATGTGTGAGAAAGGTTAGAAAGTGAGGAAGAGAGAGGGATAGTGACGGCCCTGCCTCTCCAGGGTCAGAGCCTAACATTGTGGCTGCAATGTAAACATTAACACTCCCCCAGGGTATTGAAACTCCAGCTGCGGCTCCTAGTTCGACAGCGTTGTTCTGGTCCTCAGAGCAGCTTAAGAGAGACAAGTCTCTCTGGGAAGGACTGACTCAGAATCTGCGTTTTAACAAGGTATCCAGGTGATTTGCATACATTAAAGTTTGACAAGTACAAACTCGCAATACTTACTATACAATCCAAGGTAAATGGACAAGGACCTTAAACTGAGCAAACATCCTATTTACAAGAACCCACTTCGCCCTTTTTCTTTGTCATGAATCCATTTCAGAAACCCACAGTGAACTCTTCCGTAGGGAACTCACGCAGTGGTTGGGAGGAGGATCTTACTGGATCCCCTGTGCCCTTATCCCGCTCCCAGGGAGCTTTCCAAGAGCGCTATTCGCCCAAGCTCCACTTTCTTAGCAGGGATTTTGCTGCTTCCCAGACAGACAGAGCGGTTGCAGGGAGGGTTACCGCCTAAAGGACTCACAGTTTACATACCAATAGAAACTGAAGCGCTTTGCAAAACTGCCCGGAAGAAACCAGTAACACTTTGCCTCCGGAGATTTAGAACAGCCCTCTCAAATCAAGTCCCTCCCTTTCGAAATCTGTCTTAAAGTGATACAGATGGGGGAAACAGAAAGAAGACAGAGAGAGAGAGAAAGAGAGAGAGAGAGAGAGAGAGAGAGAGAGAGAGAGAGAGAGAGAGAGAGAGAGAGAGATCGCGCGCAATAATAAATCGGCTTCAAAGAGAAGAAACGGAAAGGTTATTATCATAGTCTAGGCATCGCTCTCTGTACCTTTCTGCTTCCTAGAGAAATGGAACCGTAATTCTAGAGCGGCTAACGCAAGATTAGGTAAGCATCGAGATTTATCAGTCCACTTGTGCCTGGAAGGACAGATTCCCATTGTTGGAGATTTCCCAGGCTACTGTCCAAAAGATTCCCAGGCTACCCTCCGTTCTCTTCCGTCTTCTGAAAACTAAAACTCGCAAAGCGGTGGCTGGCTGTGGATTGGCTAGTACTAAAATATCCATTGGGTGGCAGTAATACTATCCTCTTTATGACTTGCAGCAAACCAGAGAATGCATTCAATCAAATGAACCGATCTTGTAGAAACACTGGAATCATTTATGCATTGCAGTTCCTCTTTCTTGTTTTTGCTCCTTCTTCCCTGGGATATTTTGAGTGGATTGTGGCTATAAATCAAGATCTCTTGCTATTCGTGGTTTGCTTGTCGTTTTCGCTCAGGATTAGTATCATTCAAGACAAACGAAAAGCTGCCTCCCCCCTCCCTCTTTTGAAAAATCATTTTTGGGGGCTGTTGAAGAGAGCTAGGACCCAGGAGACACCTTCCCAAACAGCAGGGGTTGTGTGCTTTCACATACCAGTACTGTACAAGGAAAACCCGTCGGATCTGTTATTGCGGGATACTTGTGAAATATACATAGGATTCTTTCTTATGGCTGCATCCCGGATCTGGAAATTTTACTTGGGGACCAGGCAGAATTGAAAGGCTACATGTATCCAGAAGATTTGCAAGCAAGACTCCGATTCTTGTGGTAGAGCTCACAGACTTCCTCACTTGTCAGCCTTTTTCCTTCCTTTTTTTTCTTAAAAAAAAAAAATTAGCTCCTTTTTTTCTGTGCTCTCCTCTCTCAGTCTCACCTTTTCTATCTGCTTCTTCTTTTTCTCTCCCAGTCTTTTTCCCCCTGCTCTGCACCTGGATTGTATCTTCACCAAACAATCGGGCACTTTGAGAACTAACTGGAGACAGTCTTGTAGGGGAAGATCTGTATGGAATTATCTGCTTTTATGGTGAACTTGGCATTTGTGAATGGGTATCTTGTTCACGATATTAATTGCTAGCAAAAACAAGAAAAAGAGCCCAGGAGTAAAACGTGGATTTTTCTGAATACGCATTGTGATGACCAGCAATTACCTTACCGACTAATATCCAGAGGAGAATAATTTGGAAGACAGTTGTGGGTAAGGTCATTTTATATATGCAAACCCATCAGTGGCATGAGCAAACTTGGGCGTTTGGAATAGGAATGGGTGACTTGGATGATTGCTGCATCGCACTGATGGCTGTGATGTGGCCGTTATTGGCACCGAAAGGAATAACTGCAGTTGGGTGTGTTGGTGTGTGTGCATGTGCGTGTGTGTATGTATGTGTGCCTGAATTCTGAGTTTAATTGAAAATAAATCAAAAGCATCACTCTCCACCTCCAATTATTTTGATGTGGCAGGGTGTCTTGAATCAATTCTGGGTAAACATTCTTTGTTTAGATGCAATATTTGGGGACTCTGCGTTCTGGAGGGGTAACAGCAGGAAAAGGAACACTTAGTAAAGAACCTCAGTTAAAATGAAATGAGCTACTCTTTATTCATTTTTAAAAATATGCTTTTAACTCAGTGCAGCATTCTGCTGCATTTCACAGCCGCAATGGGACCAGGGACATCCCACTTGTCAAGTTCCTAAACTTTAAGGTGATAATCATTGTTAATTGTTCACTAGGATGTGGTTATTGGTGATTATTAAGTGCCCGGACTACTTTTCTATCTATTGGATTATTAGTTGGAGTGTAAAAAAGAAAAGAAAAGAAAGGAAAAAGCCGAAAATGATGACAAAATAGAGACAAGTACGGCAACATTGTCTTAAATATGACCATAGTCCTTTCTTTCTCAAGTTCAATTGTCCAATAATATAATTATTTACCCAATACCCTAAATAGCTGAAGCTGAGACCCACGTGCAAGGAAGTCGAAGGTCTGGAAGCAGAGAGGATCCTTTTATTGCAATGCAGCCAGCTTTGGAAATGCAGGCAATTACATACTTCCTTTAACCTTAAGTTGAAGATTTGCCCTATCTACTATTTTACCCTTTTGGTAAAAAGTTAGAGACTAGAACACTAAGGATGCTTAAGTATATTGTGTCCTGGAAATGGGATAAAAAAAATCGATCTTGATGACGTGGTTCAGTGCACTGTACTGCAATGCTAAAGTCTCATATTCAGTACCTGTGGTAAGAGAATGGAGCATTTACATGTGTTATAAATCTCACCTGGTAGATTGATCCCGAGGGGAGGGGAGAAGATATGTGAATATGTAGGAAGATGGATGGAAGTCGTGCATAATCGGTGATTATGTAACTTCATTACATCAGTGAGCTTCAGTCAATGATAGTGAGTTGAAATGATTGTATAGAGAGAGACTCTATCACCCTGTTAACTTTTGAAGGTTTGTAATAGCTTACAAAGGAGGGCAGCAGGCAGAGACTAGTTCCAAGGGTCCTGTATACCTTGATCTCTTCAGCGAATTTAGCATGAGTTTTCTCACAGTGAGTTTCTGAGGGATAGCAGATCCTGTCAGCTTTAGGGCTGGACAGGAGCAATTTTAGCCACACCCGTGGAGAGTCCAAATGTGTCCGCAGTGTTTCACAAATGCCCCATTGAGTAATTGGGGCTGATGAGTCCAACCAAGGTCATAGTCCTTTTTTCTTATGATTGAAATATGTGACCCCAACTGAGTGGAAAGTTAAATCCATTGAAATGAAGATTGTGAAGGAAAAGACTATTTAGTGTCCTCTGTTGCATTTTTTTTTTTTTTCTGGTAAAGCTTGTTGCAGATTTTAGTCTGGTGGTTCCCTCATGAAAAAATGATGATTGTTTCCACTGCATGTCAGAAATGAGTGCTTTGTACCTTTATCTTTGCCATGACAACCTCTTTCTGGGCCATTTTAACCCTCTGGGAAAAGAAAAGTAAAAAGCTTTAAAGGTAATGATATTCTGTAAAATTAAAAAAGGAATGGCATCGGATTCATTATTAATGCAAATCCCAGAAATAAAGGGTAATACATTTTCAAGTTTTATTTACTGAAAACCTTACAAGACATGTTGCAGTCCCAGAGACTTTTACCATGATATGAGATAAATATACTGTGTTCATTGTACAGGGGAAAGAATACTGCAGAAGGAAATGTCATTCCTCCTTCACGTTTTATTTGAACTATGTTTTTTTAAAAAGCAGGTGCACATCAGCTTCTTTTGGTTTTTGATTCTTGTAGGATCCGTTTATTTCTCAATAGATCATATATTCACCAAAGAATGAAACTGCTGATATTTTAGCCCTGTTCAGTTAACTCTTATCATCTAGCTGTGCTGCTTATTTCCCACTGCATTTATTTTACAAAGAAGGCTAAATGACTTTTCTGTCAGCGAGATGAGATGATTCTACTTGTTTTTCTTTTATTTCACATAATCCATTTCCTTGCAATCCTGTGCAGTTGGGTGCAGGATCTAGATGCCCACTAAGTAACTTTGAAAAGGTTTTTTCTTCGCAAATCAGCATGGTGGGATTGTGGAGTGAAATTTTGAAGTCTGATATTTGAGGTGACTTTCTTATTTCTGCAGGACATGCCCAAACATTGATATACTGTGCCAGTGGGTTTGGAGATTTGGTGTTCATATTGTGTAGAAAATTGAATGTGAAGTTTAACTCCTGATTCCTTCCTTCAGGGGTCAGGGTAACACTACAGCTGCTTCCAGGCTGTTAGTCTTCAACAATGTGTAGAAATATAGTCTGCAATGATTTTCCCTGAATTTTTAATTTGAATATTTTATAAATGACTTCCTCTGTAGTTTTCTGATTTAAGCCACACATATGTTACCAAACAGGGCATACTGTGGAGGTTGGCAAAGCTCAATAAGAGATGGAGACAATACCAGAAAATAAAGGAAAAACAGTCTGTACAAAAAGAAACTGACCATGAGATATATATATATATATATATATATATATATATATATGACACCTTTTACTTGAAGACTGCATGTACTCATATTAAGAAAGACAGTTTCAATCATTTTATCGTTTTATGGCTCCTTATAACCTGTTACTTTCTTTAGGAAGAGGATTATGTAACCAAGCAAGGCAGGTTATGGCATTTTTCTTAAGTATCCTACAAATCAATAATAAAAAGCTTCACTTAATAGGTAAACATTCAACCATGAAGACAATGAATAATGTAAGGTATAATAGTATTCTTCTATTTTATACCTATTTTGTCAGCCCAAGTCATGCAGTTAGATGAGAAAATATTTGGCAAAAAGGAAAAATAGCATTTATCAATATGGAAGCTGCTAATTTTGTTTCCTAACCAGTTGCTTCAGCAAAGTCAGGAGATTTAGTAGATTAGTAATCACAGTATACCTGCAACTGGAGAAACTTTTAAATGGAATTTTTATTATCTTTGCAATGTCTAAGAACAAATCTGTGTTATTTTTAAATTAGTAATAGAGAAAACACTTTTAGAAACAGCTGACCTTTAAAAGATTAATTGAAGAATTATATTTCAAATATTTTGGTTTCTTATAAACTGCAGTATTTCACATATATTTTTTTCTGAAAAGAGATATGATCTTTGGTGTTCGATAAATCTCATGTTTTTATAAAGCTAACTATTTTATATAGTGTGGCAACCAAGAAGTGCTGATTAGCAAGGTTTAAAAGTAGCAAGTTTTCTGGTGATGCTAAAGTTATAAAGTGTAATTATAATAGCGCCATTGGGGGAGTTATAGATAAGGTCGTGTCAGCATTTTTAGTATTAACTTCCAATTCTATTTACATTAGACCTATCAGGAATCTCAAACTGGAAGGAGTCCAGCTCTTTGAGATATCAAGGCACTAGAGAATTTTGGGCTGAGTCAAAATTGTACTTAAGGGTCTGTTAGTTGCTACCCTTGTGACCTCTGGCACTGCACTTGATGTCTCAGTTCAGAGAATCATTAAAATAATAGAAGACTTACATGTTCCTCTAAAGAAACAGAATGATGCTGTCTGAATGCTTAATGCCATGGTGTACCTTAGAAATATATGAAATTAGTATTATTAAGGATTCCCTCAAGTCATATGAATTTAGGAAAGCTTTTTCATACACTATTTGTAAATCTTTATAGATAAATCTATTACCAAGTACAGTTAGCTGGTGGATAATTCTGTACTGACTTTCACTTCTCAGTTTTTTTCTCTCAGGAGTACTCATGAGAATACAGTTGTTTCAAGTAATTAAAAAATAGTTGCTTTTGAATAACATTTAAGGAGTGGTAACTAGAAGATCACATTTTTTAAAATGGCTCTGAATACTGAGGAGATTCTGTTTTGGGTACTAAGAGTATACAAATACACACAAATAAACACGATGCTACCACTTGAATTGGGTCAGTTGATCACAAAGCTTTCTCAGCTACCATTTCATTAGCAAATACATAATGGGTTGGAAGAGCAAATACAGTATAATTGTGGAAGTAACAACATAAAGATACCAATTCTGTTTTGAATTTTCTAGTTGCAATAATTGCTAATGTTCTTTAGGGGGAGGCAATCCCCCACATGTTACTACTAAAGCTGAATTTCTTTAAGGTTCAGGTATTTTAACAAAAACAACAACAACATATATATATATATATATATATATATATATATATATATATATATGAAGAGTGTAGAAGTGAGGTGAGCTTTTGTACATGTCTTTAAGTGACTGGATAGATAGGCTGAAAATGAGATTTTATGTTTTGGATAAGGGAGAATTGGAAAGTGAAAAATTTGTTCTGTAAGAGGCAAATAAATGTACATGGACTTAAAGAACTTTTATGTTATATAGCAATCACTTCTTGCTAAATTCCCAGTGTCTTCCTTTTTTGTTAAGGATCCTCAATATTTCTTTGTTTCACGTGAATTTGATCATGCACATTTACCAGACTCAACTGATGCCTCTGAATGGCAAATCTTTTCTTGATTTATTGTTTTTAGAAATGTGTATACCTTATATATTATAGAAACACTTTAGATTTTTAGGAGATTTAGAAAGGAATGTAATAGGATTGTAGCCTGGCTTGTTTGTTTGACAAATTCAGCTTATCGACTTACAAATATGCTTTTAATTTTCACCCAGAGAATGCCACCCTGGAGTGTCCTATACTGTAC